GATGATGATATGATGACTGTGGTGACCGGATGTGTAAGACTATTGTTACTGTTCTTGTGTAGCATGCTCTTTGTTTACCAAATTATTTACAAATGCAAGTATGTGTTATGCAGAGGGATCGATTTTATGACATGATTGAGATAGTAAAGCCCAATACCATTGGAAAGAAGCAGATGAGTGACATTATTTGGGCCCCTGTTCCTCAACAGAACAATCTGTGAGTGGTATTAGTTGTTGATGTAATAATGTATGAATGCTACTTCGTGTTTCACTCATGGACATTGTTGCCATGTGCAGGCGAGACTGTGGTGTTCATGTTTTAATATGTTTGAGCAAATGGGAGCCCGGTGTGACGCTTGACTACGGTGAAGAACATGTTGCTGATTTCCGACGAAACCTAATGTGGTGGCTTGTTAATCATGAGCTCAATTCAAGACGTGAAGAAGCATTGAACTTGCTGTCATCCGTAGAACCCACACCGAGGAAAAAGCAGCGTGCATCACGGCAGTAAATGACGCTGTCTAAGTTTAGTGATGTGTTAGTTAATGTCATGTATGTAAGGGAATTTGCAAACTGTTTTCAGGGATTGTAAAGGCAACTCATTTTCAAGTAATGTTAAACCATTTTCCCAAATTGTTACAACACATGTGACGAGATTTACAACTGTAGAAGCGAATTTTACCACTTCTTGAAGGGGTTTGACAACCTGTTTTGAGAGGCAGGACAACTCAAGAAAAACACAAATACCACACTGAGTTTGACAAAACACATAGTGGGAATAACAACTTTTACAGTGAGTGTTACTACTTGTTCAGTAGGTTTTCCAACCGTATGTTTATTGGGATGTGCTACTTCGTCCTAAAACGGTAAAAGTTGGAGGTGAATTTTGCAAAACACACGGAGGGATTTACAACTCTCCAACTGAGATTTACTACTTTTACAGTGGGTTTTGCATCCCAAAAAAATTGGCCTGCGCAACTTTGGTCTCAAAACGGTAAAAGTCGGAGGTGAATTTTACAAAACACACGGAGGGATTTACAACTCTCCAACTGAGATTTACTACTTTTATAGTGGGTTTTGCATCCCAAAAAAATTGGCCTGCGCAACTTTGGTCTCAAAACGGTAAAAGTCGGAGGTGAATTTTGCAAAACACATAGAGGGATTTACAACTCTTTCAGTGGTATTTACTACTTTTATACTGGGTTTTGCACCCTCTTGCCGGGCTGGGCAGATTTTCTGCCATGAACAATACAATGCAGCAATATGACAGCAGATACATTACATATATTCAAATCACTGCACCTCAAGTACATCACGATAAACATGAACCGTTTACTTTCATACCAGCTACACTACACGTGCAATGGGATTTACCATTCACGCAACACTATTTATCAAAAAAACAGCAGCAATATGACAGCAGATGCAGTATTTTTGACATGATTGAACCATTAACTTTCATACTAACTACACGTGCAATGGGATTTACCATTCACGCAACAGTATTTACCAAAAACCAGCAGCAATATGACAGCAGATGCATTACATATATTCAAATGACTACACCTCAAGTACAGCACGGTAAACATTGAACCATAACTTTCATACTAACTACACTACACGTGCAATGGGATTTACCATTCACGCAACACTATTTACACCAAAAAATCACCATATCTATTGACATCTAAGTTCAACTTGGGCTTGGATTCTTGCATGTTCTTCTTGTGTGCCCAACTTGTTTGCATGTGCTACAATGGTAGATCTTCCTATTCTGGAACTGTGACTCTCGTCTTTTTATTTTAGGCCTTCCTGGCGGTCGATTAGTCAAAGGCGGTGCCAAGAACACTTGACTTCCTATATTTTCCACCCAGTAATTGTTATGATTTGGCATGTCTACTGTCGCCACTGGAATCATACTCCTGCCATAAATCTTTTGCTGTGATGTAATCTTGTAGCATTCATCAACAAAATCATACACATTGCAATTCACAGCCTTAATAGCTGCACAGGCATGGGGACATGGAATGCCTGACATTTGCCAAGCTGCACAGGTGCATTCGCCTAGACCAAGATCAACATGTACAGCTCCTTTTGCTGTATGGACACACACCCTACCTCCTCCATAAGGTACACTCAGCATGCATGCTGATCTAGCAACATTGTCCACCAATTTTGCATCTATGTTTGGGCCTACACCATTTTTCCAATTACTCATTGCTATGCTTGCTGCATACATCTTCTTTGCCACTTTCTCACGATGCTCATGTATAAGTTGGGCAACATTATATCGTCTCTCTTTCAACATCCAAGCATTGAATGACTCAGCAAGGTTTGTTGTGATGTTATCCCACCGTTTAAATGGGAATTTACTTAAGGCCCACCTTTCAACATCACCATGATTAAGAAGCCACTCAAATAATTGTGGATTGAACTTTCTCATGTTATCCATTGCACCATCAAACTCGGTGTCAAGCCTTGCATATGCAATGGCATCCAGGTATTGCAGTCCCTCCTCCCTTGCTTTCCCACTAGTCTTCCTCTTTCCTCTATTTAATTTAATCATTTGTGCACTGAAGTTTTCCTTAACATGTCTGTAACAGTATGCATGCCTCTCACCACCAAATATTGCTTGCACGGCACCTATTATTGCATTGTGTCGATCTGACACAATTGTCAATTCCATCGAGCCAACTATCTCCTTAATCATATATAAGAACCATGTCCAATCTTCAAGTGTCTCTCCCTTTACAATAGCAATCGCAAAAGGTAACAATTCGTTGTCAGCATCATAAGCAGACGCCGACAGTAACGTCCCCTTATACGGTCCACTTAAATGACATCCATCAATGTACAGTACATGTCTAGCACCAGCTATAAAGCCTTCTATACAACACCCATATGCTATGAATGCACGCTCAAATTTGTTATTAGTATTACCCACCCATTTGGCCACGGTTTTGTTATCTGTTTCCTTCAACCGTTCACATATCCACGGAATAAGCATATAAGACTGGTCAGGCCTGCCATGTATGTCCTCTAAAGCTTTTTGCTTCGCCCTGTATGCTTGTTTATATGTCAACTTCATACCATAATCTCTTTCTAAAGTCTTCCTTATATCATTTGGACGCCTGTCTATGTGATCATTTACCTCATCTGTGATGATTGATGCTGTCAAGCTAGCTGAACCACAATGTTCCACATGAAGATTGTCTTATGCATTATGGACATGCTCATTTATGAATGTTGCCACACGTAAAAAGGGAGTACTCTTTCTACCCACTCTTGCACTTATCCTCCACGGACAACCTTCAACACTACATTTCACATACATTTTTTCCCTACAATTTTTCACATACTTGTACTCAAACTTGTTTGCAATACTGAACTTATGTACTTTCTTCTTGAAATCTTCTGCATTTGCAAAAGTTTGGTTCCGTCCTAACAACAATTCCTTTCATTTCAAAGAATTCATCTCCGACAAAGGTGTAGGTGCACTCACTACTCTGTATGGTAGGCTTACATTAGGTCTTTCACTGCCTCCAGAACTTGTACTTTCCAAAGCATTTCCCTCCAACGTAGGCTCATCACTCTGTTCTGACAGTCCTACCATTCTTGAGATCCTGCATTTATAATTACCACTGTTGTTAAGAGATTTACTACAATATTACAACAATTATCAACTTTCATAACCACCAAAAAAAAATTTCTCACTTACATTTCTGGATAACCCATTCCTTCCTCCACATTGTCATTACCTTTATGTGCTATATAAATATGTGCATTACGATCATTATATTCAAATAGATTATCAACTTCACCATCATCTATAAGATCTACCAATACCCTCTCATCAAAACTCAAAGTGTATTTAATATCACAGCCATGACAATCCATGCTGAACCATTCGCCTATCATTGCCCTCAAATCTTCAAGTTTTGTACCCTCATTTATTACTCTTACTCTGACAGTCCCACCACAGTATTTAACTTCGCCATTGTCATTTTCCACAAACTTCCCATCTACGTGAAAATAACAAGCAAGTCTTTTTGAAGATGTTGATACAATGTTACAAGACATCACCACTTGCTAACCTGCAGCAAACAACATTAAATATAAAAAAATTAACTTCTCCGCCAATTAGTTTCCATCAACGTACGTAACACCCAAAACACACACAAAGAGAGAAACTTTTCTTCTATTCGCAACTTTATTATAGGGTTTCACAACTCCATTATTGATTTTAACAACGTTCACCACTTGAACGCAAACTTCACGCCTACGTAATTGCTTGCCACCTTTTTTGATTTCCGCTACATCATTCAAAATAGTCAATATAAAGTATAAAACCTCATCTCCAGCACACCCGTCCCCACCATTGCGCCATAAAGCAGACACAAAAAGGAACTACCCAAACCCCACCATCAGTTAATGCGACATGTTTACTCTCTCTCTTGCTACAAACCCTCTTGCCCACAACCAAAATCTATTAAATCAGCAATCCCAAAAAAATGATGATGCGGAGGAGTAAGATTATACCATTTCCAAAGACTACCGACTTAAACTCACCTCTTTTCAGCTCTAATGTGTTCTTCCAGCGTTTCTCTTTCCTTCTTCATGTGCTCAACCGGTGCTCCATCTTTATTTTCATTTTAGTTTCACTTCATTTTACCTCACTGATAAGAGCATTTCGGTCTTTTGGCCAAAAATATGAATTCCAAATTGGTACCCAGTGCCCTATTTGTCATTTTGCTTATTCAGGACCCTTATTTGTCTTTTTAGAATTCAAGTGGTATTTTATTGTCATTTTCCCAAACTTTTTCTATCTCTTCCGTTGGCTACTCCGTACCAGTAATTGTACTCGCTGTTTTTGTGCGGAGTTGTTTCTGCCAATAATTATGATGTGTTTGGCTTTTCATGAGCAACGTTAGACCCTATCTTGTTGGTCCTTTTGCAAAACTCAACATTATATCTGACGTATTCTATGTTTGTGTTAACAGTTCATTAACTTGTACGGTTGCCGCTACGCTGCTCTTGATGGGATAAAGAGAGCCGCCAACATTACGATTCTTGGGAAAAAAGCTGTTGTGTGTGAATATGATGATGCTAGCAAGGGATGTGCTACCGCACAGTCCGCACTTAAGCTGGCTGGAGCTAATGTGGTTGTGTATACGGATGATTCCAACCATGCCCTTCGAGCTCTCTTAGGAGGTTTCGAAGTTACTAAGATCCTCGACGATGTTGTTCCTGAGGCAGACATATTCGTGACCAACATCAAACGAGACAATATTGATGTTGTTAAACACGTGACGAAGATGAAGAACAACGCGGTTATTTACAACATTATGGATCCAATATTAGACCCTCGCAGCAACACGGGATACCCTGATTTGATGCCGTCTTGGTCTTGTGCAAGCCATGTGGTTGCTATGCTTGAGTTGTGGAGCCTGAGAAGGACTGGTATAAGTACGAGGACAAGGTTTATGATATGCCTGAGCATCTTAAAAGGAAGGTTTCTGATCTCCACCTTCCCAAGCTTCCGGAGGCGAGCGTGGCTACGGCTGGTGACCCTAAGAAGGGTGATAAGGTCAAGGGGATACTAAGTCATCGGCGCTAAATTAAAGCTTGTGGGCGTTTTGGAATGGCCGCTCTGGCTGTCATAAATATTGCCCATGAATGGTGCCAAAGTTAGGATCTCATTTTTCCAAAATTTGCATAGATCTCCCGGTTATTAGGGCTATGGGGAGACATATTAGAATAAAAGCCCAGCCCATTAGTGTCAATTCTCAGCCCAATGCTTTAGGATTCTGATTCCTTGATGTAAGTTTTACACGTGATACACTCATCACGCTTTTGCCCTTATGCCCAGTGTTGTATAGTTCATTACTTCATTCTGTGTTTGAGAAATGTAATGGATATTCTCTGTCTTGTCTTTAAAAGAAAAGGGCTCCTTTTTTTTAGTAGTCAGCACATGTATTATCTTATTAGGGTCAACTTATTCAAATTACTTATTATTATTATTATTATTATTATTATTATTATTATTATTATTCATGAGTGTTAAAGGCTGTTTGCTTCTAGGTCTTAACAACGCTTCCAAAATTAAAATGGAGCTCTCACTTTTCGGCTATTTTGGGGTAATTAATTAAAGGACGAGAGAAAGGGACTTTGAAATCCTGTCATTCAACAAGCACATAAAATGATTTTAAATTTGATAGTTTTTTCTTTTTTAAGCATCTTCAGACTCCCATAATCATATAGCATGTCAATCTAGTTCATTAATTAGCACTTATAGTGTATCTAATTAATATGTGGCTAATTAGGTTCCATTGGATTATCATATCTTAAGAAGCCTGGCCAACCGGATTATCTTTTCCTAAAAAACCATTTTGATGTAATTACTAGGCATAATAATGTCTTACAAGTCCGCGCAATTAGATTCACAACAAGATAGGAATTCGTCAAAGCAATAAATAAATAAAAAATGCTTCCACCAATTCACAATCAAAATTAAATCTACAAATCATGAAATATGTATTTAATTAATAAATACACAACAATCACAGCTTTTAAGAATCCCCTGTTCAAGCCGAGAAAGGAAAAATACAAGTCGAATTGAGAATCAAAACTGGATCAGTTAAGAGACCACGGATATTAAGCTGATCTCAGGCTTCTCATGGAAGGAAAGGGCGATCAAATTAAAGCCTCACAAATCCTCTTAGCTTGCTCGGCCATGGATGCACCTTGAAGAAGAAGAAGATGATCATCACGTTCTAGACTCCTTGAGACAGCCATGAAGCTGCAACCCACGAGACCAAACCGAGGTGAATCTTGAGATCAAGGAGAGGTTCTGGTGGAGATTATATTGAAATGGATGATGAGAATGAGATGAAACAATGGATTTAGACAGTGACATATATGGAAGATGTAGGCACGGCTAGGGTAGAGGAGGATAATAACCTACTTAATCATAAAATTATTAGTCTTAAATGATAGTTTTTGTAATAGTTATGGTTGTTTTGAGAATTAAACTTAATATGGTAGTACTTGTGAATGTTTTATTAACGTTCAAGGTCTTAATATTGTTATTTTTTTATTAATGATTTTAGGGTTAAAAGACTAAAAATTAATTTCTTTTAAAATTAAAGAACTAAAAGTATACCTTAGCAGTAGATTAAAGTTAACTAACATAATGCTTCATGATTAGTGAATATTTATGTGTTATACCATGAACTAAAATATCTATATTTCTAGCAACAAGAGACATCGTTTTCTCAAATAAAATATATATTATAAATAATTTTCTTTTTAAAGTTTTCCGCTTCATGAGCCTCGTTGCCCTGCAATATTACAGAACGCCAATGCTTTTCTCTCAATCCCTTTGCCACATGTTTTATAGTTCTAGCTTAGACACAGTACCCACTTTATCTTATAGCCATTGCCTCTAATTCCTGATATCTTTAAAGCTTCGGAAGGTTAGGTGTTTGAACATAAAAGATGGATTTGAATCAAAAGGAGCGAAATTAACGATTTAAAGATTGAGGGCAGTAAAAGTCAAAGCAATAAAGATATGATATTTAGAACTGTTAAGATTGATCTTAAAAGTTTGGATGCCTAGTTAAAAAAGCACTTTTGAGAAAGTTAGTTCCCAAGAGGCCTTAAGAAGAGTAAGAGTTTGATTTGGCCAAACTAAATATCCCATATGCTTTTGCTCATGGGGTTTATGTGCTATTTATAAGGGGCACCTGTAAATGCAATAACCAAGAAGCTATAATGGAAATATCAAATTGGATTGAGGATTGTGTCACCAAAATGGCTGAAACTGCCACTCTATGTGCATACATTAAACAAGAGGTTATTGCTTGGCATAAACTTAACTATTTGAATGTCACAAAATTTATTGGAGCATCGATGGGAACTTTGAATCTTAAAATTCCAACAAATTGCTCTTCAACTAACGGGCAAAATCTTCTTTGATTTAGGGCATGTTGTGTTGTTGTTGAGTATTTTCATGGTGAGAATAGGTTGAAGAAATTAATTTGCTTCTAAGATCGTGTGCTCTTGGATCTCTCTGGAAGAATTAGCTATTTATAATTGAAGAAGATTGTACATGTTGATGTCAAAATTGAACATATGTTGCTAAAAATATATGATTTCGGAGTTGCTTGTGCTAAAGCTAGGAATCTGAGTGACATAATAGGCAAAACAAAAACCCTTACCCTCTGTTTGGATAGGAAGAAACGTTGAGTAGAAAGAAAATGAGAAGAGAGAAAATGGAGAGGAGAGAAAATTGGAGAGAAAATATTATCACCTCTCATGTTTGGATAGATAAGAGAAAACAAAAAGAAAATAAAATGAGTAAATATATAAATAAATAAAATACCCTTTCTGTTATATCAAAATATATCTTGATTAAAATTAAATTAATTATCATGATGAAAAACCATATTTACATTAACATAATCATATAATTTAAAATCAAATTATTTGATAAAGATATATTATCATGTTATTATATTTTAATATCAAATAATTTTGTAAAAAAAGAAAAAAAAATTTTGTATAATGTAATGCTAAAAAAAACCAAAACAACAACTCTACTTGTTTTTCTTTTCGGTTCATTTTGGAAGAATTTTTACAATTTTAGTGATTTAACTTTTCAATTAAGCAAACACAGAAGAAAGACTTGATAATAATAAATAAAGTGAAAAAATAAAAAAATAAAAAGGTATTATTTTGCTTAAAAAACACATGTAAGGGCAAGGAGAAAAATATGTTTTCTTCTTATTTTCTCTTTATATATGGAGAGAAAAATTGGAAGGAAAATGAGCTGTGGGATCCACCTTATTTTCTCTCCAACTGTTCTTTTCCTTCCACTTTTTTTCCTCATCTAAACAGGAAAAAAACCACTTCTCCTCCTGTTTTTCTTTCTAATTTTCCTTTCTCCCTTATTTTTTCTCCATCCAAATATAGCATTAGTTACATGGCACTAGAGGTTACAGAGGGCAAATCTTGTAGCCGTAAATGTGGTGTCTATAGCTTTGGCATTATTTGCTTGTGGGAAAGTTATTATTGTGATATGTCAGGTCTAACCCGTAGCTTTGTCATTGTTTCGGACATAGATGTTCTTCATAATGTGAAAATTTATATTAACCTCTCTTTTTGGATAAGGACTCAACCATCCTTCACACCTAAATCATATGCTAAGACTTCTATTTATAGAGTCTAGAAGTGATTAACCAACCAATGACACTTTAAAACCTCCAACATTAATTCAATGCAAACTTAATTTATTCAAGAACCAGGCCCCTCAATAATTTTACTTCCAACTTGAAAGTATTGGAGGGGAAAAAAATAGGAACGAGGTATAAGAATGGAAATAGAAGCCTTTGGCAAGAGACAATTGTTGAATGAAAATTTGTAGACTTGTTTATAAGAAGCAACACTTTCTTTTTTTTTTTGATAAAATTATAAGAAGTAACACTAATTGCATCAAATTTGATGGTAATGGAAGACAGTTGTTGGATGAAAACCATTTTCCAAATAAATAAATGAAAATTGCACAACAGTTTAGAGACTGAGTCAACCTACTCCGGTTTGTGGTAAAAAAAAAAAAAAACCTACTCCGGTTGGTCCAGCTTGAGAGAAACGGAGTAAACTTTGTAAGGCACCCAGAGGCAATGGGTAGCGAGCTGTAAGGGTAGTTATGAAAAAAAGAAGACCAAAATACTGCTGAAAGGAAAAAAAAAAAAAAAAAGGATCGATCAGAATCCTTCTATATATGCAAAACAAATAAAATTGTAATGATTTTCCTTACTGTTAATTTTAAAAAAAATTTATGCTTGGAAAATAGAATGAATTGGGTCATACGTACCTTTTCGACATCTTACTACTTTTCTTTCTTTCTTCTTTCTCCAGCGTTTTTGATGACTTGCCATTATTATTAAACTTGCCAGTATGAGTAGTAACCATTAATTAATAGTTCATGAGGCAGACCAACACAAAGGTAGAGGTAGGATGTCAATTTTCCTCTCATTTTCGGTTGGAGAGAAACACCTTTCCTATTTTTCCTTGGTCCCACTTTTCTTCCCTTTCCACCATTTTTCCACCTATTTTTCCCTCTCTCGTTTTTTTCTCTATCCAAGTAAGGGTATACGGTCAAACGGAACTAAAGAGAGTAAAATAATTCATTTTTCTAAATGTTAATATTTTAATGGGATTAGATAGTTACATGCTCAAGAAGTGCCATGCATAAATCAATCATAATTTTTTTTTTTTTGGAGTTTGGCAAGGGAAAGCTTGAGGTAAAAATACTTTTATACACACACGCGCAAATGCGTAACTTCATTGAATTGAAAAAGGAAGCTTCCATTTACGCGACGTTTCGTTAAAAATTTTACTAGCCGGCTGGGTCATAAGCTAATAAAAAAAAAAAATTATGTACACACCAACACACATTTATGGAAGCACATTCCTATATTCTATACTCATAGTAAATATCAGCATGGAGTGATAATTTTATTCTGAATCATTTAGATTAATTTTGGATAGATCAGATTTAAATTAATTATGCATATATTTTTTAAACATTTCAAACATCCAG